GCTTGTCCAATAAGACCAGAGAGTTTTGTTCAAAAAGGTGAGAGGGCGGTTCTTTGCCAAAATTTGGGAAAATCCTCCAATAAACCTTTAAGATTCTACAAACAGTCTTGTTCTATTTAAAACTATAAAACTGAGAATGAAATGAGATAAAGTGTGTTTCTCAAAGGTTTGTTTTGAAGTGTTCCTCTCAGGCTTGTTGAGCAGGTTTTGAGTCAGAGACATCAGACATCAGACATGGCCGACTCTTCCTCTTACAACGTTTACTACAAGTCTGAACGTGACACAGGAACGCTGTTAAACAACATCATGTTCATTATCTGAGAATTCTAAAAGCATGAATCGACCGACTGTATTTATATAGCACACGCAAACAACACATATCTCAAGTGCTACACAAAAGTCACAAACAAAAGCACAAAACTAAAACAATAAAGACTAAATTTTCATCCAAAGAAGAAGAAATATCAAGTCCAAAGTCTCTGACTCTTTTTACAGCCTCAGTCCTGGATCTACAGCCTCAGTCCTGGATCTACAGCCTCAGTCCTGGGTCTACAGCCTCAGTCCTGGATCTACAGCCTCAGTCTTGGGTCTAAAACCTCAGTCTTGGGTCTACAGCCTCAGTCCTGGATCTGTGGGTCTCACCTCACAAATAGCTGACTGTGGTCTCCGGTGTCGTGTCCGCTCAAACAGAGACGGATCTGACCTGGGGTCAGATGTGTGTTTGGGCCTCCTCCTGATCCCTTCCACTGGAGCATCTTGGTTTCTCTTCTCTCTCAAAGACTCGACCCTGCGCAGAGCTAGTTCCACTTGGGATCTGTGAGGCACAAGGTCCGGTGAGGAAGAGGAGGATGAAGAAGGATCTGGGAAGGACAGGATGGGGGACACTGCCGTTGGAGAGATGAACGTGTCCAGATCCACGGACGCAGACGTGACGGCGAACGAAATATCCGAGCTGGCGGTTTCCACTCCCGAGTCCACAGATTCCGAGCGTACGTTTGTGTCCGCGTCTGAAGGAGGTGAAGGAGGCTCCAGCCAGTCCGCCTCCTGCGCTCCCTCTGTCACCCAGGCCTCCATCAGATTCCCAAAACTCCGATACAGATTCATCGCGTGTCACGGCGTTCACCGCACATCCGCAAAGATAGAAGGAGAGAGACACAGGTGAGATCCACAGGAGAGAGCCACAGGTGAGATCCACAGGAGAGAGACACAGGTGAGATCCACAGGAGAGAGACACAGGTGAGATCCACAGGAGAGAGACACAGGTGAGATCCACAGGAGAGAGACACAGGTGAGATCCACAGGAGAGAGCCACAAGAGAGAGCGCACAGAAGAGAGCCACAAGAGAGAGCCACAGGAGAGAGCCACAGGAGAGCGCACAGGAGAGAGCCACAGAAGAGAGCGCACAGGAGAGAGCCACAAGAGAGAGCCACAGGAGAGAGCCACAGGAGAGAGCCACAAGAGAGAGCCACAAGAGAGAGCGCACAGGAGAGAGCCGAGAGCGCACAGGAGAGAGGCACAGGAGAGAGCCACAGGTGAGAGCCACAGGAGAGAGCGCACAGGAGAGAGCCACAGGAGAGAGTACACAAGAGAGAGCGCACAGGAGAGAGCGACAACCCACATCTGACCCGCTTAGATCCGCCCTTCGCCCTGGGCTCTTTCTCTTTCCACGCCTGGGTTGGTCTGGGACCTGGAGCTCGGCCTGGATCCAGTCTCTCTCTCTCCCGGCCGCAGACCTGCAGGTTGCAGGTTGTGACGTGCCCAGTTTTGCCACAAATTCTGGGAAACTGACTCAGCTGTTGTTTGAATTGGACTGGCCCGGGTCGACCCGTGACACCCGCCAAGACATTTTTATGAATACAGTCTGAGACAGAGTATTATAGATTGATAAAGACTGTAATACTAAAACAATAATATATTACGGTCTGTAGCAGAGTATTACCCTCTGGAATGTGGTGAATGTTTTTGAGCTGATACCATCGACATTCCTCAGGTGGACGACGACAGCTCAGGTCAGAGCAGAGTTCCACTGCTCTGTGTTCTCTACATACACATTTATATATTCAATATAGACATAGATACATTTATATACTCAATATAGACATAGATACAGAGGAATGTGGTGAGAGTGAGGCTGGTTTAAAGTTACAGCTCTAATCCCCTGATCATTGTGACGTGATGGAGCAACACACACACACACACACACGCGCACGCACGGACGCACACGGACGAACACACATATACGCACGCACGGACGCACAAATGCACGCACGCAGACGCAGCCCTAGGTTCGGTGTTTGTAGATTGTTTGTGTTTGAAAGTTGTTTGTGGGAACAGGAGCAGAGGCTCGCAGTCATGAACGCAGACTACGGCCTCAAGTTTCGCCAAGTCCTGCTCACCCCGGACCCCCATTACATCCCTGGGTAAGTCCTGCTCACCCCGGACCCCCATTACATCCCTGGGTAAGTCCTGCTCACTCCGGATATTAGGGTTAGGGTTTATGCATACCCTTCACATAATAATAATAATAATGATAACAATATAAGTTAAATGATATAATAAGAATATAAAGTGGTGATGCAGGTTCAAGTTCTTTGTTGCATTGTTTATTGTCGCTGTTTATCTTTAAATGATGCAGTGGAACGTGACGCGAGTGGAACAAACTAACTCTATCCGTTCATTAAACATGACTCAGTGTTGTTGTCTGCTGCAGGTATGCGGGCTACTGCCCTCAGCTCAAATACAACATGGGGAAGTCCTACGGCCCTCTGACCCACGAGTTGCTGTCCAGTCCTGACGTCAGTCACTCTGCGCGCCTCATGGTCGGTGCGTCTGAGCCATGGTCAGAGCCCCGCGATCTCTGCACTGAGCCGCAGGTCCCAAAGGGCATCCCAGGATACACAGGTACAGCTTCATAGAACACCATGGCACACAGGTACAGTCTCATAGAGTGCAATGACACACAGGTGCACCCTCATAGAGCACCACGACACACAGGTACAGCTTTCTAGAGCCCCACGACACACAGGTACAGCTTTCTAGAGCCCCACGACACACAGGTACAGCTTTCTAGAGCCCCACGACACACAGGTACAGCTTTCTAGAGCCCCACGACACACAGGTACAGCTTTCTAGAGCCCCACGACACACAGGTACAGCTTTCTAGAGCCCCACGACACACAGGTACAGCTTTCTAGAGCACCATGTCTCTCAGGTCCAGCCTCATAGAACAGCATGATGATGTTCAGATGACTGTTTGCATGTACAGGTGCCTCATAATGATTGGTTTAACTCTATGACGCCCTCTAGAGGGCTCAAAATACGAGTGCTCAAATCAATTAAATATATCAATGTTTTATTACTTGCTTGCAACAAACCTGACTGACAAAAAGAGTCTTCTGCTGGACACCTGAATTTCTCCTACAGGGATCAATAAAGTATCTATCTATCTTTCTTTTATTTGCACATTCCTTTCTAAACCTGTGTTTCACGGTCCTATCACATGTTGCAACCATGGACTATAAAAAATACAACGGTGTTGGTGCAGAAAAACAGTCTGTATGAAAAATAAACATTTGCAGCGCGTTGAAAGAGCTTCAGTAAAATCTTCAGAATCTGTGAAAGTCTCCTTCATAAGTAAAGTGTCCGATATGTTCCTACTGTCTTATCCCTCATCACTCATTCAGAGAAAGGGCTTTTTAAACCACGACACACAGGTACAGTACTCTTTTAGAGAAGAGTAGATGCATCAACAACTTGACCTCTTACCCTGACCTCTGCCTTCAACAGGCTTCGTCCCTAAGAGCCAGAGTCAGTTCGCCTGCACCTACGGAGAAATGTGTCGGAAAGCACTCGGTGAATTCCATCAGGAGCGAAAGAGGAGTCAGCACCAGTCAGTCAGACTGCCAGCTCTGAGCCGCAGGCCTCAAGTAATGACCTCTGACCTCTGACCCTCATCTTGGGTGTTTCTTAGGGACTAAAGAACTGTACCTGCGCTCTCCCAGTTCCTCACAGCTGAAACTGAAAGCTTAGACCTCTGTGATAGTTCTGTGAATCCTGGATAGTTCATGATCCACTTGTGCGGAGGTCGAGGTTGTGTTGAAATAATCAAAGGGCGTCTACATTTATGCACAGGCCTGGTTTGAAATCACTCTCACTTTCTGTGAACGATTTTATAGGAGACAGTGAAGTCTCCTTTGTCCTGTATTTAACTGAAACTTCCAAACAATCAAGGATTGAAAAAAGAAAATCCTCTATTGTAGCACCACCTGCAGGTAAGAGGCAGATCGTGTCAGACCTAAGCTAAGCAAGGCAGGACCTGGTTAGTGCTGCGATGGGAGACAGTTGTGAACCCCAGGTGACAGTGTGTGCTTTATCTGAAATATGTCCTGACTGAACGTCTCCACGGACCCGACCTGTCGCTGGAGCTGTTGCCGTAGTAACAGACACCCATTCTTAGTGGTAGAGGAAACCGGAGAACAGGTGCCCGCAGAGTATGAGTCGGAAGTGTGACTTGCTGATTACCTCTGGATGTGCGAGGGCAGCTGTGGCCGGGTCAGAGTCAAGAGTCAGGGTTAAAGGTTAAAGGTGAAGGGTTAACTTTGTCCCTGTGCTCATGCTAGCCACTCTGACACCGCTTGCTTGTTTAATTATTCATGTTGCGGTGTTAGCTTACTGTAAGGAGAGACGGCTGAACAACAGTCGCTTTGAAAACACAAACAGAATCTGAGCTTTAACCCTGACCCTAACACTGACCTCTGACCCTAGTACTGACCTCTGACCCAAACCTAATTTTATTCAATGATTTTGATTTGTATTATTAAACACTTTGGTCGCCTTGAGTATTGTAGAGGGCTCTATAAATAAAGTTAGATTGATTGATGCAGTGTCTCATCAAACCTCTTGTTCAGGATGTGTCCACTCCGCTGACCCCTGTGTCCATGGGGAGGGCGGTGGTCCCCTTCAAACCCTCGAGGCCCTTCCTCCCCATCGAGCGGCCGTATGTGATGGACGACCTCAACCCTCACAAGTATTTTATTTCAGGTGAGTTCTTGCTCAGATGTTACCTGTCTTCTATCGCGGCTTCTCTGAGTTTGTGTTGTAGGGTTCACTGGACATGTGCCAAAGACCCGCTTCCTCTTTGGGAAAGGTTACTCCATAACCACGAACCAGGCTCTGATTCTATTTGGAAAACAACAGCGGCATGAACCCTCTGGTCAGGAGCCAGCCAAGGGGGGCTCCTCTCCCTCACACTACCCCCCAAAGCGACCGGTGGTGCCAGCCTTCACTGGGCACATACCAGGTTTGTGTAGGGAATAATCCACAGACGTTATAAACTGTAACCTCACGTTTTTCACTTGTTCTAGGATACAGATTCTTATACGGACAAACCTTTGGACAGCTGTCCCAGAAAGCATTGGAGCAGAGCGGCAGCAAACGAGCGGCGTGATCTTGATGAAAAATAAAAGAGCCAACAAGTTTCTCAAGCACAAGTTATTATTTTTTTAGAATTGATTGTCACTTGGCAAAACATCTTGATACAATAAGATACTGAACATTGACCTTTCCTGTTTGACACTACCTGAATCGGCCACTAGAGGGACCGCGTGTGCAACAGAAAACTCCCTGGAAGACAGACCACTAAACTGGACACAGTAATGTAAATCATGCACCTGTGATACTGGATAATACTCTAACCTCAGTCACACACGAACATACAACACACGTTTAAACTGTTTCTATATTCATTCTTTTTGATGCTTATTAGGGTTAGTTTTTATACTAGTGTAAATTCAGGACTTTAAGCCACTACTTTGTTCTAGTTCTTTGATCCCCGCGGCTTAAATAGTGATGCGGCTAATATGAGTATTTTTATTGTGCTATAGGAGAAGGTTTATGGACTTATTGTTTTGAATCAGAGTAGATAAAGGTGAAGGAGTCACGGAAGCTAACGGTGAAGGAGTCATGGAAGCTAACGGTGAAGGAGTCACGGAAGCTAACGGTGAAGGAGTCATGGAAGCTAACGGTGAAGGAGTCAAACACTGTCATTAAATCCTGTTGAGTCCTGTTAAAACAGTAGTCTCTCTGCTACATTAAACATGAAAACCTGCAGCTTATCTTCAGGTTATAGTCCAGATAAGAGTTCAGATAGTGCAGGATTTACTAAATGATATATATATATATATATGGACATAGTTGTGCTTTTGTGTGGGGGCAGTGTATTCAAACATCTCTGTTATCATTAAATAAATATTATTGCAGTTTCCTAGACACCAGATACTGAGCCATTTGTTCCAACTGCCATCTGTCCAGCTGAAGCCACTCAGATGGTTTCTTGCTGAACCTGAAAATAAAATACTAATGTTTAGGATGTTGTTTTAATATACAGTAGGGATTAAAGTACTTTGTTTCTTACCGCTTTTTGTGCTTGGACTGAGTTTGTGCATTCCTGACTGAGTTTGAGGATAGGTCGGCTGCTCCGAACAGTTTGGCCCAGCGTAAACCTGGGCTCTGTCCACTCTGTCCACTCTGTCCACTCTGTCCACTCTGTCCACTCTGACACTGATCCACACTGATCTGGGACCAGTGATTGGCCATTTCTGTCGACTCCCGTTCAGCAGCAGGAGCAGACAAGCGACCCCTCTGTGGTTGTGGGGATGGAGATAGGATGTGAACATGATGCCCACTTCTCTGGGCCTGCAGCAGGGGCCAGCTGGTGGCTAAAAGGCCAGAGGGAGGGGCCGAGGGAGGGGCAGGTGGAGGAGAATAGGTGCTGCGGTCCTCGGCCCAGAGCCTCTTGTGCTGTAGGAGGCGGGGCTCCAGCAGCAGGTTGAGGTCAAAGGGCAGAACAGACAGAGGCTGAATTAGCAGTAGCAGCTCCTGGAAAAGTGGCTGACAATGCTCCAGAGACATGGGCAGGAACCCCCACGTGTGGTAGTGAGTACGCACCACGTCTGCGGGAGAGCAAGCAAAGCATTATGTCTTTGTGTGATGGTAACCAATATATTTTATGTGATTTTACCTTTTTGATTATTAAGATGACTAAGCCAGAACTCCAATGATCTGAGGCTGTGGCACAGAACAAACCATAAATGTACTGGGATTCAACTTCAAGTCCAGAAAGTACAGCATTCACTAAATGGTAAAATGTATATCTAATGATTATGATAATATATATATGTGGTCATGATAATTTATATATGTGGTCATGATAATATATATATATGTGGTCATGATAATATATGTATGTGGTCATGATAATATATATATGTGGTCATGATAATATATATATGTGGTCATGATAATATATATATGTGGTCATGATAATATATGTATGTGGTCATGATAATATAGGTATGTGGTCATGATAATATATATATGTGGTCATGATAATATATATATGTGGTCATGATAATATAGGTATGTGGTCATGATAATATATATATGTGGTCATGATAATATATATATGTGGTCATGATAATATATGTATGTGATCATGATAATATATATATGTGGTCATGATAATATATATATGTGGTCATGATAATATATATATGTGGTCATGATAATATATATATGTGGTCATGATAATATATATATGTGGTCATGATAATATATATATGTGGTCATAGATGTGCTTTTGTGTGGGGCACAACACATCTGTTACATTACATTATATTACATTTACACTGAAACTACTGCTACCACTACTACTACTACTACAACTACAACTATCACTGCTGCTATGCCCTGCTTCAGAGATGGGACGGTAATAGGCTTTCACCAGCAGGTGGCGCCATTACCTCGCCTATTACACATACAGAAAAGTGTGATGAGACAAAGTTACCTGCATTTATTTTCATTTGACCTATTTCTGCATTGTTTAAGTTTCAGAGTTTGACACACTAGTGTTACGGTTAGTCAATCTATCTTTTCTCAAAAATACTGAATAATTCCATTGTATTGGTAAAATATCTGCCCTGTGTAACACCTACTTGAGGAGACCCATGATGAAGGCTCTCAGTCTCATACTGTGGTCTGTGAGATGAGGATTTTGTTTGATCTTTGAGACCAGACTGTGGAGAACTTTGGTGGATGGACCTGAAGGTACACATACATAAATATCATTATATTACATCAATATGATGTAAGGATAGACATTATTATAAACGATTTACCTATTCTGGTGGATAGCTCCACAATCCTCCAGGAATCAGTCGGCTTTTGACCAATGATTGGATCCAGTTGGTGATCCCTGAGCCCGTCTTCCAGAATGGACTGTATCGATGGACACAAATGTTCAACAACTAAACCAGCGATGATCGGACTGCAGGAGCTGTCTCCGAGTTGCATCTGAAACAAAACAAAAGATTCCTCTGTCTAATATTTATCTCTTTTTACAGAGACTCGTGAAAGTACTGATACAGCTTTAACTTTTACATATTTTCTCAGATTTACACCTGAAACATAAAGATTGTATTTAGATGTTTTTGCTGAGAGTTCACACAAAAACAGACAGAAAATGAAAGTGAAAGTAAAATGAGTGTGGTGGTCACTAAACAGCACTATGAAGGCCAAAGAGACACCAGAGAGGACAGAGGTCAGGGATTAAGTAGAAACCAGAGGTCAGTGTTATTCCTGGATGTGAAGAGCTCACAAACCACTGTTTAATCCATAATTTGGAAATACACTGCAAACTTACCAAGACACGGCCGTCCACCTCAACAGATGGAACAGGGGACACTGGTCAGAAACTGGAAAGAAGTATTGCTGCTGAGGATCATGGGAAACAGTCGTACAGAGCCTGTGATTGAGCTAAAGGTTCCACTCACTTAACACAATCATGAATCCTTTTACTTTCACAATCGTCTGTTATTCATGTTATGTTATTATATTTTGAGAGGTACTTTTTATGTATGTATGTATGTACAGTATATATATATATTACACATATATACACACAAGATTTACAGTAAATATATTTTCTGATATGTAAGACAGATCCGTACCTTGTCCTCTGGGTCTCTACTTCTGCCAAAATGGACCAGGATTAAGTCCACCGCTTTGCTAACAGCTTTCAGCAAACCTAAGTAAACATCAAATATATTATACACATATACATATATATATATATATATATATATATATATATATATATATATATATATATATATATAATTATATATATAATTCTAATTATATTAATTGTCATTTTAAAAACAAGTTTTCATAACAGTTGGATTCAGAAACAGAAATCCAAGAGGTCTCATTCAATATTCATAGTTCTTTGCCAGAACTAGGTCAATGGCAACGCAATGAATCATGGGAAAGAGTACTGTTCAAAGACCAGAAATGGAAATCAGCAAAGACTTTTCAGTCTCTGTAAATGTCAGAGTAAATCTTTAATGTAGAGCTTTGCAGGCAGCTCTACATCTATCCTAACCCTAACCCAGAGAGACTCTTCTCACATCTAAGCATAAACTAAGCCATTCCGTTCCTTCTCAAACTATTCTGACATTCAACCAAAAGGTTTTCATCAGAGCGTCCTCTGTGCTTGTGATCTCTGCTCAGAGCCAAACACACAGAGACACAGCTCACACTCAGCCAATCCTGAGCAAGAGTTAAAAATAGGTCATGTTTGAGAGGAAGCCCCTTCAGGGCCTGAACCACTGCAGAGTCTGATCTATCAGCACCAGTCTCTACCACCGCAGTCTCTACCACCGCAGTCTCTACCACCGCAGTCTCTACCACCGCAGTCTCTACCACCGCAGTCTCTACCTTCACTCTACTCTCTACTATATACATACACATATACTGTATATTCAAAAAATATACATCCAAACTCCATAACTACATCATGGAGAAGGCCCAAACAGATGACGTACTCAGTGAATGTTTCAGACAGTGGCGAGATGAGGAGGTGCTGGAGGAGAGCCCATCATGGGAGGAGAAGCCCCTACACGGCATGTACCACCGGCGCATAACAGAAGTGGCTGATCTCCAGAAGTCCTACCAATGGCTAGAAAGGGCTGGCCTACAGGACAGAAGCACTCATCATGGCTGCACAGGAGCAGGCCCTGAGAACCAGATGCTTCCAGATACAGACCTACTGAATGGTAATGAACCAACCTACTCTTTGTGGTAGACAAAGGGCAAAAGAAAGCTGTGGTGGTGGATGGGGCAATTCTAATAGATGGTAACATCAGGAGAAGCTTGAGAAATACCAAGGGCTCAGATAGGAGCTGGAGGGGGCCACTCAGAAAGGCCCTGGTCCGACCGGGATTCAAACCCAGGACCTTCTTGCTGAGAAGCGAGAGTGCTAACCACTCAGTCACCGTGCCGCCCATAATGCCTCGTTATTCACTACACTCTCATTAGGGCTAACTCTAACCCTAACCCAGATAAATGTCATTCATGTGTTGTACCTCTCCTCTGAAGATGACTGATGGACATGGACTCGTAGGATGTTTCAGGCGACAGATGTCCACGTGTCCTCTCACTGTTCTGGAGACTGAAGTCATGTGACGTCCAGGACTTCAGCAGAGACGACGCCACTGCGGTCAGGGTTCTATGCATAAACCCAGAGACTGGTGCAGTGTGGGGCAGGACCAGAGAATTTTGGCCTGATTCAGGCTCCTGACTGGACACTACAGATGGAGGTAAGGCGGGCGGGGTCAGAGTACTGTGGGGGTCTACAGATAAAGGTAAAGTGGGCGGGGTTACAGTACTGTGGGAGTCTACAGATATAGGTAAAGTGGGCGGGGTTACAGTACTGTGGGAGTCTACAGATAAAGGTAAAGTGGGCGGGGTTACAGTACTGTGGGAGTCTACAGATAAAGGTAAAGTGGGCGAGGTTAGAGTGTGTAGTGAGCTGGTGGAGCTGTGTATCTGTTGCTCCTGCTGCTCTGGAGTGAGGTGGATAAGGTTGCATTGTGTGGGGATTCTGACCAAAGTGGCTTTACTGATTACTGGTCCCTGTTTGTCTGAGTAGGGGCTGGTTTGATCATATGTAAGTTTGCTGCCTAGTTGCAACATGGACGGATTCGTCCCTGAGCGACTCCATACGTGTCTGAAACAATCAGGGCTGGGCGTACAAGTAGAACAGGTGTCTGAGCTGGAGGGAGCCTGCAGAAAGACGGGGCACTGGCTTCCCATCGGAGAGAGCTGCATGTTCCTGAAGCACTGACTCCTCTTGCCCTTAAAGGTGAAGCCTTCTCGGCTCTTTAGACCAACATACTGCTCAAGAAGGCCGCCAAGGAGCTCCGCCTCCAGAGGAGACTTTTCTTTCGGGAGCAAAACAAAGGGCTGGATGGGAAGTGATGTCGGCCTCTGGGCTTTAGTGAAGCGCACCACAGTTTGCCCTGAACTCGGCCCTGTGACAAACACAAAGAAGTGACTGCTTTTCTGCTGTATCAAAAGCTGCATTTCAAAATAAACATCAACTACAGGTTTGTTAAGAAACAGAATGTTGTTTTTCTCCTATTGGTGTAAAATACACATGTGTAGATGGTGCACTGACGACTAACCCTAACACGGAGTGAGTGTTCTGCATGGGGACGATATCGCTATCACAGCTGAGTCCTCAAATCAGTTCAGTGTAATCTTAATCTAATCTAATCCTAAATGTTTCTTTATACACTGTGCAAGCTTCACTTCATGTCAGCATCTAGTTTGGACTGTAATGATAGGTCTCAGTGCTTACCCCTGTCACTGGCTTCTTCATTATAGTGATCATGGTCCACGGGGGGAGGGGGGCTTCCCAGAGGGTGCTTCCTCCAGGAGGCGGAGGCGGAGGTGGAGGGTACAGGGAGCTCTGTGGTGGAAAAGGAACTCTCTGTTGGCTCCGCTCTTCCCTAAAACACAGCAGGAGGAGCACAACTGAACACTAAAGGCTTATCATGACTAACCAGATACGGGGAGAACATTGAAACTTTCAGAAAGGGAGAATGGAAAACTTTTCCTAAACTGGAGTCAATTGTCATTATCCATGTGTTGAGATTTAATTTGATAAATTATAGTATTTTCTTCCAGCCAGTTCAAAACACAGCAGCAAGGATCTGAGCAGGCATCAAAAAAAGGAAACTCATAACTCCAATGTTAAAGCAATCCACTGGCTTCATGTTGAATACATACTTCTTCTTTTAACATACAAAGTCATACATGACGTGGCTCCCTCCTAACTCCAAGACACGTTAGTGTCACACCAACCAAACCGAGCACTGCTACTTCTGCCTGTGGACTGCACTGTGGCCTCTGTGCTTGTTCTACAGCCTCAGTCCTGGGTCTACAGCCACAGTTCTGGGTCTACAGCCACAGTTCTGGGTCTACAGCCACAGTTCTGGGTCTAGAGCCAGGACTTGTTGATGCAGTAGAGTCTAAGGTATGGTCTATAATAATAACTGGATAGGGTATCACTTGGAGCTGAAGAACCCACGTGCTTGCAGGATTTGCGCGGTACTGCAGATTAAACCAGACTAAATTCACCTGGGCTACCCAGAAATTTTCCCCATAGAACTCAATGTAAATTAAAACAGCTCGACCTCAGCTGACAGAGAACCTACAGCTTTAATAAAGGTCGGATTTTGTGGGGATTTTAGTGTCATCCTGAACTTTTCTTCTTCTTAAATCCTTCGGTTTTCTTTAAATCCACACTTTAGTGCCACGAACTCTGCTGGTTTGGCTCCTGCTCTAACTCGCGCTCTGATGAGCAGTTCTGATTGGTCAGAGCGCGGCCGAGCCCCTCTGTGCACGTGCATTAGAGCCACACACATGTATTTGGCGCAACGCATCATGGGAGCTCGTCCACTGCACAGAACCAGGAGGCCCAGACGATGCCCAAATAGGCGAGTTCCGCTAATCTTTCAGCCCCCATGCCGGCACATGCGCCACTGAGCACAAACCATTCATTTGAATGGTTTGTGCTAGATCGCGGGGCTTGGTCTCAGGACAGTGATGATCCAGGACCACATTGATGGACATTGGTCCTCTGTCCCCTCTGGATCAAAGGCTGTGTTATCTATCCTTGCATTTCCTGTGTTTGTACTGTTTGGTTTTCTGATCTGTGTTGACAAATACACAACTTGTAAAGTCCTCAGAGATAACTATGGGCTATGCAAATATACATTGAATTCAATTGAAATGTTCTTATATATTTCTGGGAAAGAGTGAGAAACTGTAATGAAATACCTTTTTGTTGTCTGTAGACGGAGAGCTGCACCAGGCTGGACTGGGTGACTGTGAGGAGAGGTCACATGACACAAGCTTATAGTACTTCTGATTGGTTCCCATCTGTAGCACTCCTCGACTTTGGAGACAGCCGTTCAGGTCGGAAGCCTCCAGAGAAGATAGGCCGGCGGGCTGCGGCTCCACACTAGACAGGTTACAGTTGGAGTCCAAGGCCTGAGGGGAGAGCGGGCTGAGGCCGACAGGCTGGAGGTTCAGGAACACACAACCAGGTGCTGGCTCCAGGGGGGGGCTGCTCAGGTCCTGGGGGGTGGCAGGTTTGTTGCTCCTGTTGTAGATTGTGCAGAAGTTGACAAGGATGCCATCAGAACTGTTACAAGAGGAATCAGTGTTTGACAATAACTCAGGCGAGCACTTCTGCAGACTGTGAATACAACAGGACCTGCTGCTCTTCAGTCTGTTGGAGCTCTCTGGAACATTAGCCCCTAAAGCTAAGCTAGCATCACTCGCCTGATAGCACAGGCATCTGTGAAACCGTTGGTTTGATTGTTCAGGATCCCATTCTTCATCAAACTCCGATCCCCAGTCTCTGATGACAGTCCTTACACCGTTAGTGACGGTGGAGTTAGTGTTTCCGTGCAAAACGAAAGAAGAGTCCTCACAGTAACGGTGTAAATTATCCCCATCACTATCGTCATCCTCGTCTTCATCCATTTCTGAGTTGGGGATGAAGGAGTTGTGAGAGCGCGCGCAGAGTTTCCTCGGAGTCCTGAGCCTGTGGATCTGAGAGCGTTCTTCTGGAGAAGAAGAGTTCTCATATCGACTGCTGTCGCTGGTGCCCTCCTCCTCGGTCAGACTGAGGCAGCTGTGACACTCCCTCTCAGGCAGAGACACGGCTCGGCTCACTGACACCAGGCCACTGGACCTCTGCGTAACAGGGATCTGCCCCAAGGGCAGCTGTGGCTGCGGGATGTGACATGATACCAGCGAGTATCCGGACTGACTGGTCGCGATCATCACAGGTCCCTCGGGTTCAGGTTTTACTAAAAGAGAAAACAGTTTCAGATAATAAAACATTCATTCATTTAGATGTAGAGGAATTTAAAGCTGGGGTACTGAACTACAGGGTACTGAACTACAGGGTACTGATCCAGAAGAACACCTAGTTCTGGATCTAAAACACTTTCTTTAATCACTAGTTTTTACATAATGTATTTCCCCTGTCACAGCTTTAGATCAGAGTTTTCAGACAGAAATGAGAAACATTGCACACACACACACACACGTTTTTGTTACCTGGTGGGTCCCTTTGACAGGGCCGTTCAGAATGGGACCCATAGACATAATCTTTTTTTACTGGGACTACTTTAAGTAATACAAACAGTCAATAGAAAAGCAAACAACTCTTTTAAAGGAATTTTATTTTAGATTTTTTTTTTTGAATTGCAGTGATTCTATTTTTGACATAGAATTTAATGCCACTCCATGTCCAATGTCTAAGGTCATCTGGTGAGGCATTAATGCAGGCCAGGCAGTGAGACTTCCCAGGGACCTTTCCAGTCTGTATGAAAGGTGTCATGGTCTTCTCCACAGCCTTCACCTCAGATGCAGACCATGGCTTTCTTACACGTTCTAGGGAGAGAAATAAAAATATATTAGCAATATACACTCCCAGGGTTAGGACCAAGCAGCCTGGCTGTAAGCCCCCACCTGGTACACTTACCAGAAGGGGCACTGCCACTACCATGGGGTGCATCTGGATGAATGGTTGAAGGTTCTCCGCTTGAAGTTTCCTTTAGCCCGTCCGTTTGTGAGAGGATCTCTACTGCTCTCCCTGTCGCACAGAAAATAAAAATACAAGTGGCCTTTAGGGGAAAAAAATCATACATATTTTAATAATATCAAGAATTACCTTCAGGCTCAATTTGTATCTGGTCGAGGCTCTTTCCTTCGAATTCCGTCACTCTTCCCTGCTCCATGGCCATCAACACTTTGCTGATTTTGGCCAGCTCCAGTGTCCCCTCTGGTAGTCTGTAATATTGCCTGTGGATGCGAATGTCATGGCCGAGGAAGTTGGCAAGTATGTCCATCTCATTCTCTTTCATATTGAGAACTGTAGACATAGTAGCTATGTGCTTTCTAAGTTTGGTTGAGGATAGCATCTCTGGATGCACCGCACCACATTCTTTGGCTACCTGGCGTAGGGAGTCTGATCCCCTGATGTGGGTGTCTGCGCCCGGGCGGGAAAAGAAGTATGGGTTATGGTCAGAGATGGAACAGGCCCTTCTGTTCTCCACCAGCACCTCCATCGAAGCAATCATTTCAGGAGTCAAAAGAACCGGCACTTTCCGACTTCTTTTCCCTTTAATTTCAATGCGTTGAAAATGCTGACACAGCTTTTTCTCAAGTTGGGACAGTCCCAGAGCAATGTCAGAATGGATCCCAGTCTTACTTCTTAAGGTAAAGGCTGTCAGTGGCATCTTTGAAACCTCACCTTCCCTTCTTCGATTGAAAATAATGACCTCACAAAGAGTCAAAACTGCCAGTTTAGACCAATGCTTAGAGGTTGGCTCACTTATTAGGGTTTGCACATATTCAGGTCGACATACCTCAATATGTGCATGCATGGCTCTAACGTCCTCAGTCAGAGGGAGCAGGTCCGGAGTGTTCCACTTGGCTTGCCGAAGGGTCTGTAGGGCAGCAGAAGAAACACAGACGTCCCACCTCTTCTCAAAAAGCAGCCGGCTTCGTTGGAGGTTTTTAATAAATAGTTCTTCAACACAATGCTCCATTTTTGAGTCACAATCAAGAATATCTGCTAGCTTTCTGAGGCTATGGCCGAGTTTGAGGGCCAAGGATGGAGTCTTGTATTGATTTGTTTCCTCATCATATCCAGCCACAGACCTGACTGCATCAATCACATGGTTAAAGTTGGAAGGAATAAAGAAATCCTTAATTGTTTTCAGTTTCCCTGCGGTTTTTGCTTCGTTAATTAACCTACCGACTTCTCTCATTTTCTGCCTAATGTAATCATGCTTAGTCTTATCATGCCCATGTTTTAAGTACAGGTGCTCTCCGAGTCTCAGAATCCCCTTTTCTGCTTTGACAACACCCGTGACCTCATCCTGATGCATTGCCGAAATTAAAGACCACAGCTTTTTGCTGATGCCCTCCGGTACAGGCTGGGCTAGGGAGCAGAGGGACTGGACCCTACTTCTACCTGGTTTAGCCTGGGCATCTTTCTGTGAAAGCCGGCACCTGGCCACATGCTTCCACAGCGACTTTCGCTTAAGCAATGCCCCACAGTCTATACAGTGCAAAAACTCACTGGATTTAACTGGGGAATTTGGCTGTTTAGCTGGGACTAAAGTTCCAATGCCGGCCTTTAAAACCTCAAAATTGTGCTCACGGTTTCCACTATTCCTGATCAAATCAAACTGAAGTTTACGTGCTTTAGATTTCACAGGTAGAGCCAATGCTCTGGCTACATCACTTTCATTTCCATGTTTTCTAGTCAAATGACGGGACATTTTGTGGCAGGACATTGAACAGTAGAGGCAGAAGTGTCTCTTGCTATAAACTCGCCCCCCATTTTTCTTCTTTTGCAGCTGCATGATAACAATCTTATTTGCCTTTGGTTCGTCACTTTCCGAGTCTTGAAGAAAAGTGTTTTTGATTTTTCTTTTTCCATACTTTTTTACAGGTTTCTTCTTGACAGTTAAATCGTCAGAATCTGAGTCGACTTCATCAATTAGGGACTCTTGACTAAGCTGCACAAACAACAAATAATTTGTAATCATTCTATATAACAATTTGAAGTCATGACTTGTAGTCAGCACTTACCAGTGGTTTGTAAGCGTGCGCTTCAGTGTGCTCCTCCATGATTTCTTGCAGCCTAATGAACCACACACTTGCACCTTTTTCTAGCCTGACACCTGATTTCCTCTGTTGTGCTGCTCCATGATTGGCTCCAGCCTGCTGGACTGAAATTGCCCCAGTGTGCCCCTCCTTGATATCCCGCAACCCACCACCAGGGTTCCGACACATAACACACTTTTTTCAGGAAAGTAAACCTCCAGGGGTCCTTTCCATATTTTTACAGAGACTGCATAAGGACCGTTAGAAAAGCATTACCCATTGATTATTAAGCTTGGACCAGTGGGGTCCGGTGTTCGGGCCCCACCACGTAAAACCAGTCCCCATGACGTGAGTGGAATCTCAGGTTATGGAACCCACCAGGAGTTGAAAACAAGTGCACACAGACACACACACACACAGACACACACAGACACAGACACACACACAGACACAGACACACACACACACACAGACACACACAGACGCACACAGACACACACACACACACACACACACACACACACACACACACACACACACACACACACAGACACACACAGACACAGACACACACACAGACACACACACACACACACACACACACACACAGACACACACAAACACACACAGACACACACACACACAGACACACACAGACACAGACACACACACACACACAGACACACACAGACGCACACAGACACACACACACAGACACACACACACAGACACACATACACACACACACACACACAGACACACACACACACACACACACACACACAGACACACACACACACACACACACACACACAGACACACACACACAGACACACACAGACACACACACAGACACACACAGACACACACACAGACACACACAGACACAGACACACACACACACACACACACACACACACACACACACAGACACACACACACACACAGACACACACAGACACACAGACACACACACACAGACACACATTTAACACTCACATACACATTTAACTCAGATACACACGCACACACACACACACGCACACACACACACACAGACACACACAGACGCACACAGACACACACACACAGACACACACACACACACACACACACAGCTTTACTGGCCTGTTATACCTCATTGTTAAGCGCAGACCCTTTTGGATCCATTTGTTCGTATGAACTGACATTTGTTTTTCTGGCACAAACATGTTGTTGATCCAACCTCTCACAGACGTCACATGTTTTACCTCATTTTGCTTTTTAAAAATACACCAATTCTAGTCAAAGTAGTTCTAAAGTGGCCTCTAAGTTTAAACTTTGGACATTCCTCCCCTAGACCCTCCTATAACCATGCATTATTATTATTAGTGGGTTATTGCTTCGCGCAGGCATTACTCGTTGAACTGTCATAAGTCACAATCTCCGGGCGCAGCTTTGCTCCTGCTCTAGTATACAGTGAAATGAATGGGGTCCTATGGGGGGGGTGGGTGACCTCATGATGGCGAGGTCAATCACCGAGAACCCAATAGTTGCGTTCGTCTGGTCGTTCGCTTTAAAACGACGTATCATTTGTATTATAGGTTACTATGGAAACCTATATTGTTTTTGCTCGAAGATTTAAAAAATAAATTCCTTGGTTTGGTTTCTTTCTTTCTTTTTTCTTCTGCTCTTTGAACCTTAATTTGACCCCCTGAACATTGATGAAAAGTTGTGAAATGTTGCCCAAAATTCAGAACTGGCGAAAATTTAATTTTTTTGGTGTTTATTTTTATGGGACTAAAAAAATGCCCGAACAGCGCCCCCTACAAAAGTCAGTTTACATTGCGCCTATGGGAGCGGGTCGGAGGTCAAGTTTGTCGTAGAGCCACGAAACTCGGTTCATATGTTCCTCAGGTCAAGACATGAAAAAAAGTTATTATGGCTCCGCCCCCTGACAAACAGGAAGCTCATTAATGTCAATGGGAAATGTAAAAATGAAAATTGAGTTTTTTCACACATATCAGTTGGAAATTATCTCCTCCTCGGCCGCTTCACCGATTTATCTCAAAATCGCTCCACATGGTCTAAACACATGTACCATCAATTATTGAATATAGAATTTGGATCAGTTAAAAGTTGTCCGAGCAGCGGAGCGGCAAAATGTGACATTTTTTTTT